CTTTCCTGCCCAGGGCAGGGGGTCAGACTCGATGACCTACCACGGTCCCTTTGGACCCTAAAAATCTATGACACCTATGAAATCCTGCCAGCCTGCTCTCCCAAACCTTCAGTGTGTGTGAGTGACCTTCACACTAACCCAATGTCCCAGGGGACTCCGGCCAATCTTGCTGCTATCCCACCAAAGGTTCGGCTGCTGAAGGGTGCTGCTTTCCTCTCACTGGTACCATTCAACCCTTGGCTTCTGCACTGTGGCTGCCCCCCCGGCTCTGTTCCACTTTGGATGAGAGACGTCCTGGTCCTAAGCTCACGTCTCACTTCTCCCACACCCTTCCCTTCCTGCTCTGCCATCCCTTGGAAAACCATTTCCCCCTCTCAGGAACCTGCTGCAACTCCATACCCCGGCGCTAAAAGCAGCAGCAGCCTCCCAGCAAGAAGCCGCCTAAGACACTGGCACAGATGCAAAATCCAGCCCCTCTTACAGCACAACCACATTCAGACTCCGCAGTCGCCGCCAGAGAAGCGGCACGAGGTGTCAAGACGCCTCCTTGCCCGCGGTCGCTCCTGCAGCCACGCTGCCCGGGACGCCAGCGGGGAAAGAGAAAGCTGCTTTTCTGCCAGGAGGCACGGCAAATAGAGGGAGCTCGTGCCAGCTCGAAGCAGAATTATTTAGCCCCTTTTGGCAAGTAGCGGTTTCCTCAGGTTGCCAGAAAAGAGGAATAAATGAGAGCGCTGCGAGCCCACGGCAAAGCAACGAGGTTTCGGGCACTTACTTATCCTGGGCAAACACTGCCCCCGTGAGGCCATAGGGAGACGTGGTGTCGATGAGCTGGAGGATCTCCTTGTACTGCTTCTCCGGGTAGACGTAGACGGCCAGGACTGGGCCAAAAATTTCCTGCGTAGCAAAATAAAGGCCATCAGGACAGTGGCATCTGAGCCTGGCAGCAGATCACCTGCATCCAGCAGGGACACCTGTCCCCAGCTTCCAGCAGGGACAGATAACCAGCAAAACACCCCATTTAACTGTTCAGGGAGCAGACATGCACCCCAGAACATAGCTGGGCCTTTTTTTGGAGCCTCACACGCTCAGCCCCTTTAACTCGGAGGCTAAGCTCAGGGCTATTCTGGCTGGGTCGGTACTTCTAGGACTGTAAAAGATGGGGCAGGAGAAAAGAAACCCTCGAGAGCATCGGCTGTAAGTCCATGCTGCTTCTGAGGTGTGGCAGAGAAGGACTAAGCTTTCTGCTCTCCCATCCCCGTAAAACGGAGGCTGCATTTACGGGCTGTTGTGATAAAGCACATGCTTCTCCTTTACTTCAAAGGCTCTAAGATTAGGAGCTTGAGGGCCCTGCCCAGCTGGAGTTTAATACAAATGCAGCCCTCAGGTTCTTTATTTGCTATGTGGTTTCTATCCTCTTGGGTCACCCTGGTGATGAAGTGTTGGAATGAGACGGAGCTGGGTAGCCAGGAGTGCTTCCTACTATGTCCAGGCTCTCCA